GTTTTAGAATTGATTCATAGTAAGATTTACTTTAACAACTACAAATTATGCTCATATCAGATGAATCAAGTTTTCTTAACTAGATTTCAAAATTGTGTTGAATAATTACATATATTACTGATATTTACAATCTGTGCTGTGTTTTGCAGTTCATTGAAATGTAGCTTTGTATGTTTAAAAACTTAAACAACTTTGCTTTCACATTTATTTTTCATTTTTTAATAGCAAGATTTATGCAAAATATAGCTATTGTAATGTTCTTTGCTTGGATTATTATCTTGGTATGCAACATACCTTTGAGCTTAACTAAAGAGGCTTCAGGATGAATACTAAGTTTTTTTCTCAGTCAAATTTACTGTAAGCTTGTCTTTATCATGGTCATTTCTATAATGCCTTCTGTTACGCCGTTTGAAGCTGGAGGCTGCTATGCAGGCCCTGTTGATGATCCTCAGTTGATTAATCTTGGACCTGTTTGGTTTTTAAAAGTGTTTTTCTAAGTTTGTTGTTGTTAGGTTTTTTTCTTTTGTCCTCGAACAGAGGCCATTTCACTGCTTGCTACTGTTACAAAGCATATTGCTGCTAGATTCTTGGGTTAATCTAGATCACGTATCTTGTAAACTTTTACTAGGATGCATGAAGCTAGTTTCTTTTCTGTTGTTTTACTGAATATCTCTGAAATTTTTAAATTAAAGACAATAAAACATGCTTGCTTTTTGTTTAAATTAAAATGGATAAGCAGGGTAATAGATTTTCATGTAAACTACCTTTAAAACCTCTAACAGATTAGCTGACTAGAGCCTGTAGTATCAATAATAATTGTATTTATGTATTTAACTGGAAGCCATTCAAGCATCACAGAAATTTCAGAGGGAAAGGAGAACGATATTTTTAGTTTGATTTTAACACTTTTTCTCAACCAAGAAGCAATTCTTTTGTTTAGAACGGCAAGCAAAATTCTGCCTCTGTTTTAAGATAATTGATGGTAGATGGGGAATGATGAAGACAAAACATGATAGGGCTAAATAGTTAAATAATTGGTTAATTTATATGTTTTGTTGACTTTCAGGTCTTGATCTGCATGTAGTCCATGGATTGTTTACTTGTTTGAAAACTTAGAAAAATAAAGCTGTAATTGAAAATGTATCATGTGTGCACAATATGTCACTTTTTATTTAAGTGCTGTTCTCTCTTAAGTACTGAATTTCAATCTGCTGTTTTTAATTTGAGATAATTTTTAGTTCTGCTGCAGTATGCTGAAATTTCCTTTTTAAATATAATTTTAAAGATAACATGGAACACATACCCTTGATATTTTCTGATGAAGAGTGCCTTCTGCTCATTTTCTACCATAAAGCTGTCAGCAGCTTTTGCGTTTCTTGCTGATTTTGCAGATTTTTTTCTGGGAGGATTTAAACGGCTTTAAAAACAGGAGAATAAAACCCCAAGTTTATTAAGGTCTGAAAACAAGCTGTGTAATCTTGGTGCATTGTTCTGTCAATCCCTTAATCTGAAAAGAAGTTCAGAATTTTTAGAAAGTCGTTGTTACATTGCTAATTAAAGAAAATAAGATTTTTAAGCCTTTTTTTGATCATTTCTTATTGGCTCATAATCACTAGTAGTTATGATAATCATGGTAGATTTCCACTCATAATTTTCCAAGAGAAAGCAGGTTAAAAAAGATCTGAATTTCTAATTTATGGCATCTTTTAAATTGTCTTACTACATAAGGTAATGGTCTTTTGTGGTTGGGATTTTTTTTATTTCTGCCTTCCCTCAAAATGTTTATAAATATGTATATGTGAATATGGCTGGCTATCAGATTAAATCCTACTTTTGTAAAGCATTTTGTACATTTTATTGGTAGAGGTAACACCAAAGAGCAATTGAATTAGGTTGAAGAAAAAATACTGTATTCTTGTGTGGTTTATTTGTGTGACAGCATTTGCAGCACTAGTTTCTATATCTCTAGGTACAGCCCATTTTCTGATCCAATTTGGAAGTTTAAGAGCAAAAGCAGGAAGAGTATTTCCTTGTTTTAAATAAAGACGTGTAATTTCCAGAGTTATTAAAATTAGCAAGAGGCAGGAGCTGGTATGAAACCTGATTTTGTCATTAATTTTAACAGTAAATTTTAACAGTAGTTCAGATTAAATATACATCTAATTATGGTTCACAGCATTTAGTACCTTTCTAAGATGAAGTGAATGAGAGAAAATTGAACTATGCAGAGGGCAGATTTCACAGTTTTTCTGTAGATTTTGTTTCTTTTTTTTTTAACTGAGCACTTCTTGCAACTAAGATACTTCATTATGTTGCGGTTTTTGTTAGCTTCGTTAATATTTTCAGTCCGTTTACACTGTTCATGATCTTAATTGATTCATATACAATTAATCTATCTTAAACTAGGATAAATGGAACATAGTCTCAGATTTTTGTTTTCCTATTTTACAAATAGTGTACAACTACCAGACTCCAAAGTTTACAAGCTTGAAAATTCACTTGGGAAGACTTCTCAAGTTAGAACACTTTTCTTCCAGGATACACAATATGTAATTTTTTGAGCAATGCTTTTCAAACGACAGTGATTGAGAACGTGCTTTTTTTCCCCCTGTATGCAGCTATCCTGAGCTAAGAGTATATATGAAGTAGGAGACTGTTTTTGTTCCCTCATTGCAATTATGAGGTATAAAGTTCCTGCAATAATTTAGAATTTAGTAAAAGGCTTTACTGCAAACACCTCTCAGCGATTTAATGTCTAGCTTGCCCTTATACCTTCTCACCTTGTGTCTGTCTTCTACGTGACAGCTGTTTGCAACAGCCTGCCTAATGATGAGTTATTATTACTCTTTTGTTATTTCATTTGTTATCCATTAAACTAAGCATCTGTATGTCTACATTGTAAGCCTCAATCTGTTCTTTAGCTCATGATGAAGACAAAAAAGATAAGTTAGTGATAAAGGGATTGATGTAGTAGATTGTTATATGATTTGTTAGTATCAAGTATGCTTCCAGTCACCATGCTATAAGTGTTTCTTTTGTTGCTTGCAAGCATCTATGAATGGTAATGTTATTACTTATATACTACAACAATCATAATTATGGATATTTCATTGAGAGTTTTGCCAGCCAACATGTAGTTTTTGTTATGGTCTCATATGGGAATTGTGAACAAAGCAAAACACTCAGTGGTCAGAATATTTTAAAATAGAGTATTCAGTTTATTTCATAAATTATGTGGTTTTATGGAAATCAGAAAGGAATCTAGAAGCTGTTGGATGCTCCCTTTAAAGGGAGAGATTAATTTAAACATTAATTCAAAAAATCATAAGTGAATGGGCACCGATGTTAAAGAATCTTATGAAATGTTGTGTATTTTAATAGTTGAGGTACAAGCTGAAAATGCAAAAAGGCCATGTAGATTTTAAGTCATCCAGCTGCATCTTCTGAGGTCAGAGAGATAATCTGTCCTCACATGAGGAGAAGAAATAAAAGTCCTAAATTTAGTAAGTTACCTCTTTGAAGGTAAAACTGATCTGCTGACTAATTTGTTTTCCTCTTCAGATAAAGCTTTACATGCTTTTTAAAAAAAACTGAAATCTCTGAAATGTGATACATCAAGAGCTTTTTCAGTACGATGTAGAATTTGTGAATACCAGTTCTTTGTGGTTTTAGAATTTCTATTATTTTGAGTGTTAGAACAAATCTTCATATTAGTAGGTTATTTTGCTAAGTTTTGGTGTGATGGAATATTCTCTGTATTTTTCAAAGTACCAAGAGAAAGCGCAGTCAAGAATGTTGCTTTGAAAAAGCAGCATATTATGAAGTAAACACATTTGCAAAATCTAGAAGCTTTGTATTTTTAATAAAGGTAAACTTTGCATTTCATTGTTAATTAAATGATTGATGCGAGCATATGACAAGTTTTAAAAAAAGTGTTTGATTCGGCCATGTTGAAAAATTTCCACCAACGATGATATAAGAATTTTTTTTTACTGTTGAACCTTACCCATCTGCTTTGCTTTATATTGGTGCTGCTTGTTTGTAAATGCTGTCCTACCATGTTGAGGAGTGAAATTTTTTGGAAGTTGAAGAAGAAGGAAGGAAAAAGACTGTTTTCAAATGTCCTGACCATACCTTGAAACCACTTCATGGAATAATTGCAGATTTGGGGACATAATTCTACTGTATGATAAAGAGCAATTGTGCACGTTTTCTCTAAGAAGTATTTTCTTTGTGATAGTGCTCTACAGAGAATAAAGATTCGTTTTATTATGGCTCCTGACTTTAGATTTGCAAACAATAAAAATGTTTTTATTTAAGCTGTGTAGCATGCTAAATAAGCTTCTGCCCTGATCAGTGCTGTAGCAATATTCTGTTGATATTCTTCCAGCATCTTTTAGGCAACTCCCTGTTTCTTTTATCCCAAAATAATGCTAATCTATTAATTTTATTCAAATATATAATAATAAATTTTTATAGTTATTCTGAAAAGATCTTAGTTTCTTGGTGAAACAGGCAGGTTACTAACAGAAGATGGATTTTTAAAATGATTTTACTTACATATCAGGATTTAGTTCGTAATTTTTTCAAACTCGTGCACATCAGTTATTATTTCTTGCTTATGTGGTTAAGGAATTTTAGGAACTACTGGGTCCTGCTGTTTGGAAATCTAAATCTTAATATATTATGCTAGTAGCTGCATGGCTTATCATAGAAAAAAGATAACTGTGATATCTTTCTCCTTGGAGAAGTTTGAAATAACTTATATTCGAACTGTGTGAAATATGGCACCAGATTTGCTTGATATTTGTAAGATACTTCACGTAATTTGAAATAACTGTTATTATAATTTTAGAGGAGCATAATTTTTATGTGCTTTGTTTTACCAAAGTTTTAATCCTAAGAGGAATATTTATTTTTTTTTACATGAAGCTGTGGGTGTCTTCTGTTGAATCATGTAGTTTGAAAATATTTAAAAATAAATATTTGTTTCATTACAGATGGCGGAGTTTGACACCAGTTGGACAGCCTATACCAGGAACTAGATTTATTGCATTCAAAGTACCTTTAAAAGGGGTATGTATAAAAAGTAACTACAAATTAGCTCTATTAGATACAGTGCAAAAGTAATGAAGAATAGCATGAATATTCATGCAAACTTCAAAAAAGTTTTATGAAAAAATAATTTATTCAGATTTAGCCCTTCCAGTCATCTACTAGTGGCTTTTTTATATAATATTCTGTATTTTTTTCCTCTTTCTTTTAAAATTTATATTTGGTGTTACTCTTTTCATTTGTCTTTTAAAAATCATAAAATCTCTGACCAATCAGCACAATTCATTTGATTGCTATTAAGTGGCCTAAATTCATTATCTTATTTAATATCTTTTCATGACTGTTGCAAGAAAATCATATGGAAGGGATTATGACATGAATAACAATCTAGGCAATATAAGCCAAAATATAATTTTACAGAAATCAAGCACTCATTAAAGGGTACCAGCCACTGCAATACTTCTAAAATTATTGATTCAGATTGCCAATTTCATAAGCAAAAAGCTTTAGTGATCTGGAAGAATGCAGTATATTTAAAAAATAAGTCTTCATAGATTTCTTTTATTAATGTGTTAGCACGTCCTTTAGATTCTTACTAACGTGGAGTGCCATCTTAATCTGTTAAATACACTGTGTCAGATCTTTTAATTTTTTGTGACAATACAAAATGTGGAGGCTTTTTTTTAGACTTCAGTTCTTTGGTGGATTGAGGCATAGGGTAAATTAGGGCAAACAGGGCAAATTTGCCCTTCTGTATAAATTAACACAAGTGCTGTATAAATTAACTCTTACAAGTCCTTGCTTCAGATACAGAGGAAATAAAAGTTTCTAAGCTCTTTTAAAGTTTAGTGGCTAGACGTGACCTTAGCAGTTAAGAGTAAATATTCTGTCTAAGCTGTAGTCTACAGATTGCACTCTAGTACTCACATATAAAAAATCTGGTTCTTTGGGTATATTAGTCCACGTTACATGTTCAGCCACCATTCAGTTCACTTTTATCAGTGATGAATGAAGTGGAATGCTTGCAGGGTTTGCTTCCTGCAGCTGCTTTTACAGCTTTAGTATGATGGTTTGGTTCCTTTGACACCAAGGATCTCATACGTGACATTGGTCATGTTCTCCGTGGTACTGATGGATAGTACAATAGCCGTGTGTCTTTCTACCAAAGACGGCCAGTGGAGAGATCTAGCAGTGAATATAAAATTCAGTAGATTTATAATTAGCTTATTTGCCATTGGGGTATTTGAGAGAGGATTTTTTGCATCATCTGCTCCTGTAATTCTATTTGATCCAGCACCAGTTTTTTGCATAGCTGCACTATTCTAGGCAGGATTTGTTCAGTGTGTATGTTTCCAGTTCCCTGTCACTCCAGATTTCAGAGGAGGATACTTCATTTCTAACTTTACTCTTCCCCTGTAGCTCCTGTGATAGTCTGGAAGGAGCTCCACCAGAGATCATAAAAAGGGCAGACATTCCCAGAGAATGTTTATAGCAATATATCACAAGTAGGCACTCCGGTGTGTTGCTCACTTTGAGTCCTACTGATCTCACTGGGGCATAGATCCCTGTTCTGTGAAGCTGTCTTTGAAGTTGGCCAGATACAAAGTCTGGTACCCAAGAAGGCAAAATCTGTAACATTTCTGTCCCTTCAGTTTGTTCAGTCTCAGCTATGCAAGGTATAGAAATGACAAGTCTGCCAGAGACTGTGCTTGCAGCTCATGGAGTTTGTGGCAGAATACACACAAAATGCGTAACTAGCTAAACCGTGATGTCTTTGCAAAGAAGGTGGAGGTCAGTAAATCTGCCTGGAAACGCTGAAGACCTGATTGGTCATAGTCTTGTCAGAAGTCCTGTTATTAAATTGGTGGAACAGACCTCTTAAATATGCAGCATTTTTCTTCTTTACTACCTATTAGGAAATTGATGATTGGTGATTTCACCCAAAGGGAGAAAGCATATTTTCAGTATTTCAAGATTCAAGGGTTATTGTTTTAGCAGAAGATGTGCTGCTAGTAAAGGCTTTAAGGTCATGGATTTACTTGGAATGATTTTCTGTCCTTCCTTTCACATCATCATTGTAATGCTAGCAGGAACATTGTAGTATAGTAAGGACTGGGCAAGTTCTTTCCCATGCCCTAGAAGGATTTTAGAATTGATACAGATTTCTCACATTTTCAGAGCCCAATTAAACACCTAAACTACTGAATACTCAGCAGGAGTTTTTCAGAAAATTCCAAATAGTCATTAAAAACATAGTTTTTCATAACACGTTTAACTGTTTACTCAATCAAGCAATATGTTTCAAGGTATCTTATTTTTGTAAATTGTATTCCACCTCAGTTTGTGGGACTTCACATAGTAAAAGAAAAAATTCTTTAGTGTTCTACCATAGACCTTTTGCACATTCGTTGTTGGCACCTCAAAGTAAGTTCAGTGTCAGGTTTTACTAAAAGTCACTGCTGAATAGCGGTGAGATAACTGACTCTTGTTCATTTTGTTTGAACCTCAGCAACCTCCACTGTGTTTTCAGCAGTGCACCAGTATCTGAAATACATAGGACTGAATACTTCTATATGCTTTCTACCCTACTCTTTTTAGCTTGAGCTTCCTAATCATATACCAGCTTTGATAGGACTGTGCTGCTGTTTATTCTTTAATTTGGTTTCCTGTCTCTGTTTCCAGACTCGAGATAAGTGCTTGCTAGCATCTTAAATTATAATCTGTACAGTCAAAAGAAGGAATGGTTAGTTACCCTATAGCATCTGTGGTTCTAAGAGGTATGTGGTCTGTGGCTGCCTTCCTTTCCATTAGTTCTGAGTCCAGTCTGCTTGAATTTCTTGTTGACAAAGGAACTGAGAGGTGGTTGAGGCTGCTGCATCTTTTGCCACTGTCTTTTTTGGTTGTGGCTGAGCCTGTGTCAAAAGGCTCTCACAATGGACAAGCGCACTATTCAGAGAAAATCCAGCCTTGCGTATATGAGGCATTTTCATACCTAGAGTGAAGAACACATTTCAAAAAACACAGCTACAATAGGGTGAGTAAACATTTTTCCCACTGTTTCTGTCAAATTAAATTAATTATTCATTACCCACCAACAAGCAGCTTGCTTAGTCACAGTATTTTAGTCTTATTTAATATTTCCCAGTGCTAAGTGACATGCAAATACACTCTGCCAAGAGATGAAGCAGGGATAAAAATGTCTGCACGACATTTGTGGGGAGAAAGTTAAAACGTTTAGGAGAAATGAACTCTTGTATCACAACTTCTAATGTTTTATGTGAAATCTGCTGTTAATTTTGTGTTATTGTGCAGGATGAAGTATGTTTGGGGGAAAGGGGATTGTGGTGTTTTACTTTTTGCTGATGTTTTGTTACTTAAAAATCAGTATAAATGTGCTGCATTTTGCAGGATTTTTGTATCTATCAAATTAGTGCTTATTTTAATAATGTTTGTTAACATTGTACAAGTGGAAATTCTCACACATTTCTTGCATTTTCATCTGAATAGGAATACACAACAAATTCTTGCTTTCTTTTTATTTGGTTCCTTTTCATTTTTTTATCCATGTGATACATGGATATGGTTCCGATACTGTAAACATTCCCTTTTGAATACTGATGTTTCCTAGTCCTAATTAAAACAGCTGAATATTACAAATATCGTGTTATGAGAACTTAAAAAGAAAATCTTTCTTTTTCATTTTCATTGTAGGCAATTAACCAGAGACTTACCCCAACCCAGAAATTTACACCAAAAGACTTAATTGCTGCAATGAAAGCCCTAAATGTGGAGCTTGGATTAATTATTGATTTAACTTATACCACACGATACTATGAAGTTAAGGTAATATAAGCATAATAACAAAATAAATTAGTTACTGCAATCTTTGTTTTAAAGTATTTATGCATTTGCTTACCTTGAATTGGAATAGACAAGTGAGCCATCTAGACTTATTTTGTGTCTCCAGTAGTCTGTATCCATTACTCTGACTTACCATGATACAAATGAGCCACAAATGCAACTAGCTGGGAGGAGTTATTTCCTCTGTGGTAAAGCATTTAGCTTCTATTGAAGACACAAAATAAGTAATAATCACTAATAATTGTAAAATGGGTTAGAATGGAATTACAAGAATCTGGTCTCTTTAGTTAACGTGCTACCTTATTAGCAGGGATAAACAAGTCTTCTGTAGAAACTGTTCTTTGTTTGAGATCAGGTCTTTAAAATGGAAATGTAAATGGTAGTTTCTGAGAGTGTCTCTCTATAGAATTGTGTCAAGACAGTTTTCAGTTTCTACTCAGGATTTGAACTACTGCTTTACATTGGCATTATGTTAGATACTGTTTATGGTTTTACATTGATGCAAGACTTCGATAATTTTTACCTTTTTTTTTTTTTTTTTTCCTTCTTGTTGCAAGGATTTACCTAAAAGTGTGCAGTATAAGAAACTTTATACTGTTGGACTTGAAGTCCCCGATAATGCTACTATCCTACAGTTCAAAAAATGGGTCAGAAAATTCCTATGGGAAAATGCAGGAAATGGTAAGTATCAGCACCTTATGCTGTAAAAAACATGAAATTTTATTTCAGTGCTAACTGTATCATTTATTAATTTCAATAGATATTTAAGACACCAGGGATCTCAGACTTTCTATAGGACTTTCCACTTTACTATCATAATAAGATACATCATGTGAAGCACTACGTATCTTTTTCGCATTCAAAACATGTCTTTTTCAAGAATGACTAGTAACTTAAATGCCATTCCTAATAGTATTATATTTGTTATGTGTCAAAGCAACTGCAAGAAGGCTTTCATCTGTCTCACCCAAGTTGTCTACCATCAGCTTAGTGTTGTGGCTGTCAGCCCTTTATGGATGTTCTAAATAGCACAGGGTTTCTCTGATGGCACTAGGCACTGATACGTGTGAGCAACTTAAGTCCATTTAGTCTGACGTAGCATTTTTTTGATTTATGAGTTCATTATTGCCCTCATATCCTAGCAATTCTTAAAAATCATATTACAGACAGTGTCAATGTTGCCACAGTGTGGATCTGCTGCTGTTTTAGTGTTTATGCAATAGTACCGTTCTTGCTGAGATCATATAAGGCGCTTTTTGTGGAAATAAATTTGCATGTATTTTGCCACAGCCTGTTTGCAGCTTTTACCTTCTTGCTTTTTTTGCTAATAACTATTTGTAGGCAGATTTTAACTGTTTGTCTGTCCAATATTGGAGGACCATTCTTTCAAGCTTTTTCATGTGATTTGTTGTCGTTGCTTTGGCATTTTCTGTGAGAAAGTAGAGATATTAACTGCCCAAGTGCATACAGTTTTTCCTGTAGAGCATAACTGTGGTTTTGCTGTAGATGGTCAACTCGGTTTTGTGAAAGAGCTCTGACCTAAATCTCAGGTATGAGAACCTGAATTAGAAGTGCTGGGAAAATTAAGAGGTATAAGAAGAAGCTTTTGTCCTTGCTCAGGAAATTAGTGTGTAAGTTCTTCCTTTGCTCTTTTTTGGCTTAAGGAAATTACTTGGAAATTATTAGTTTTCTTCTGGCCTTGATGTAGTGATTTTTCATGTGACAAAGAATAGTCTGTATTTCAATCTAACTATTTCTGATTCTCAGAATTGAGAGAATCAATTCCTAATTTGCTACTAGATGAAGACCTGCAGTTCCAGCTAGTAAGACCATTTTGGCAGGTTTTATGTAACTTCGGAGTTGGGAGAACTTTCATTTTTATATTAACTAACTTGCAGCTTGCCCTCTGTTTTAGATTATCCGTAAAATTTCTCAGGATTGTTCTTATATACAATTTTTGAGAAGTTGGGTTTTTTAGTGTCTGAATTGTTAGGACACCAACTTATAATAAACCTATGTGGCAATGTGACTGTCTTGTTCTGTGGCAAACAGTTACATTTTATCTGATTCAAAAATTTATCAAAGTTCCATTTCAAAGACTGTCTGTCAGTACTTTGTCTCTGCCACAACTTTGTTCTTCTGATGATTAAAGTTTTTCATCTAAAACTCTCCATCAGTCAATATACATTTATTCTTATGCCAAATTTGTCCTTAAGTATTGTTGTTATCTATGCCCGTTATTATATTCAGTATCTCAGATTTGGTTTTACAGACTAAATAAGACAAGCTTCCTAGGTTCCTTCTTATAAACTTTTTTTGTGACCATCATAGTAGCCCTTTCTATGCATATTTCAATTTTTTTTTCATTAAATATGGGTAATTAGAATTGTATGGAATAGTCTGGATGAGGTTTTATCAGTGCCTTGCATGACGACATTAGTGTTTCCTTACTTCTGTTGGAAATACCTCGTTTGAAACACCCTAATAATAGTAAGTTATTCTGCTTTTTAGCTGTTAGCTGATTAGTATAACCTTTCCAAAAAAGACAAGATTCTTTAGAGATTACTGGTTCCCATTAGAGTACTTCTTTTCTCCATGCATGAACCTAAATTCCTCATCTCTATGGTTCATCCCGGTAATGATCCAAATTTTTAGACCAGTTAAATGAATTCTTCCAGTAATGTATTTCATACTCCTAGACACTAGGGGTATTATGTTTACTTTCTCCTTTTTGTAAGTTTTATGAGAATCTGTGAGTTAAGTTCTTCAATTTTACATTTCCTTGTTTAGATTTGCTTTCAAAGCCATACTTCATTCTTTTTCTCCTGTTGCTGCAGTTCTGGCTGAGGCCAACCGCTTTACTTGTCATCACTCCTCTTTCTTTTTTCCTACGTTCTGCAGAGTTAATCTCAGTCTTCACAGGTTTGGAAGTAGTGAGCTAACTGTTGCTAGAGATCCAGCATGAAGAAGACAAAATCTGGATGTGTCTGTTCTTTTACAGGCATGACAATATAATTTTGTAAATAGCAAGCATTATTTATCATTACTTTGCTAGAAAAGTATGGCTTTTTTTTTTTGTCTTGCACTAATTTTTTAGTAATTTCACTTTCTGAACTATTAAAGACTGTGTTTTCCTTTTTGATAGGGAAACTCATTGGCGTTCACTGTACTAATGGAATTAATAGAACTGGCTACCTTATATGTAGGTAAGGGTTGTAGAAAACCAGAACTCATTGTTCACAACACATAGCGTCCTTATATTAATCTGTAATCCCTTTGGGACAATAATCTAATCATATTTTTCTTCAGATATCTTATAGATGTTGAAGGCTGGGATCCAGAGGCAGCAATCCAAGGTATTTATACAGTTTGAACTAAGGCACGTGTTGGGTTGTAATTCACAATTACTACAATTGTATTCACAAATACAATTCTGTTTTAGTATCTTTACAGTTATTTCATGTGCTGGCTTCCATAGAAGATTTTCTCTGACTGTTGATTCTATTCCAGGCAACGCTTGAGCTTTAGCAAATTGACAGCATAGTAGGGAGTATGTTTCAGCTGCTTAAAATCCTTTTTTCCCTTTTGCTTTGAAGGGTTTTCAGTCCTAGGTTTCTACCATTACTAGTTTCAGTTGTTTAAAAAAAATGCTGCAATATTGCCAGCTTGCTGAAGTATTTCATGTCAAGTTAGAATTGTTTCAAATTCAGCATCTCATGGTGAACAGGAACTTGTGTTTCACATTTTTGTGGCTCAGTTTGAGCACATTTCATTAGATTTCTATCTTTTTTCTTTAGCTTTTGGTGATGCTAGAGGTCATCGCATGGATGGTCTTGTGTATCTTACAGATCTCAGAACACAACCAATGAGAAGGTAAACAAAAGTTTTTAGTTGTATGGTTAAGATTTTCCAGTATGTCTACTGGTATTTTGCAAAGTTTGCTTCCAGTCATAAGCCAAAATTAACCCCCTCTTAAACCTTTAATATGCAACTACACATATATTGTAAGAGTTCTCATATGAATAATGTGAAGTGCAGCGTACTTCCTTTGTTAATCTTTTGAATTTATATGGTTCAAAAGATTTTTTTTAAATCTGACAACTGCTATTGAACATTGGTGCAGTTTTGTCATACTATGACAAGCGTGTTGAGTCTGTATTCTCTCAGTATAAGCTGAAAGGAACCACTGCAAAGGTTTCTTTATAAGCTCTATGGTCTACCTGCTGTTGTTGACAGGATAGAACCAGATACTTCGGAAAAAAAAAAAAAAAGTACAACAGTTTTAGGAATAAAAAAGTATGGGGAAGTGAAAGATCGTTCTCAACTCCTCTGTTCATAGTAGTTGTATCTCTGGTGTATAAGAATTTTATGCTTATCTTATTCACCTAAGAATAGCTAACCTTTACATCTTCCCAAGTTGTTTGTGCCAATGATACCTTGTAGCAGTAAACTGATTTTAAAATAATACCTGACTGATTTGCATATTTTTAGTTTAATTGAATGCCCTTTGTTTAACTGCTCTCATTGTTTTAGAGTCTGTGCATGATTAAGTTAGTCCTGTGTTAGATTTTTTTAAGAGGTATGGTGCTTGTCTCACATCTTTTAGGATGCTGTTCCAAGTTTATGAAGTTTAGGGATTTTCTTTGCTTTCCCTGCAGCCCTTCCCCAAATAAATTTTAAAAGATAAAAATTTGCTAAGTTACAAATGTCTGTAAATGTAACTTAACAGACAAAAATTTCTGTCATTCTAAACTGCAGAATTTTATGTTGTTTTTTTTCTCTCTCAGTGGTATGTTGTAAAAAAAGGAAGCTTATGTGAGATGTTTTTATTCTTCTTAGTAACCTTGGAATGGATGTATGGGATTCAGATGAAGATATTACTCCCCCACCACATGCAATGGAAGGACCTGTAGAGCGGCTC